TTCATTAATGTGTATATCAGATTTTACTGAAAACTGCTTTTGAAAACGTACATTTTCTGATGTTCGAGTAGTACATTTATTCACTTTAGTTCAGTAATAGAGGAGCTTTAAGCCACTTTTGCCCGTATCGTAACCCTAAAGAACAGTTCTTTTCATAGAACGTGTCATACAACATGAGGTTGGAAAGCATATGATTTAAATTCAAATAGAAATGTGTGATTTATTTCTGCACTTAATATCAAAAGAAAAAGCATCAAAGATACGATTAGGTAAAAAATGATGATCTTGTAAAACTGACACTTACTGTGAGAGGATGCAGTCTCTCATCAAAAATATCCAGGGATGTATTTGCATCTCTGCAAAGAAAAGTTCATCTAAGTCATTTATATCTTAGTTAAGTACCTGGTAAGGGTAGGGGACTATGGAGAAAGAGGCCTAACCTTCAACATATCAAACAGTTTTACAAATTCTTCTCCTTGATTTTGACCTTAAGACATCTCTTTGTTTAGTGCATCAAGTACTGTGAAGACTTTTCTAAGATAAGCAGGCTAAGTTCCTATAAGTAATGACACTTCATTATAGGCAATGCTAGTAAACCAGCAGTGCTAGGTATTCAAACTTAGAAGTGTAGTAAATGTGAATGAGATTTAGATTCTCCAAAGTTTTCTTTTCTTCAGTCCTCTATATTTTCATCATGCATTTGTGTTTCTGTTGTGTTAAAAAATGTAGCAGCTTTTGTATAGGAGACCAGTATTTTCGTTAAAGTATTATACTGTGTTCCTATAAAGCAATAGTTGGCTGTGGTCTCTGGACCTCTGGAGAACCCTCAGTAGCATTTTCAGGAGGCTCAAGACCTCAAACTTCTCTTACAATCATGAAGAATTTACTTATTTTTTGACTGTTGGTCACTTGTTATGCTCGTATAAAGGCAAAAGCAAAACTTGCAATTTCTTAATGTGAACCAAGCCTGTGGCACTAAGTTACATCAGAGGTCACGGTATTTTTCCCTGTCACTTACAGTTTGGTTTAAAAACCTTTTATAATTGCCCATGATAAAACAGCAAGGAATAATGTTGGTAAATCTTGGATCATCTTTTTGGTATTATGAAGAAATGAAAAGCTCACATAAAGCATTTCTGCATACTGAAGTATGTTCTCAGAAATTCACTTCGGATTTAGTTGTGAGTTTAACTGTCTTTTTATCATAGAACTCTACTTTTACATGAAACTAGATATATCAATAGAGAACATAGTGGGCCTCGAGGAAAGTGAAGAAATAGTTGTTGCCAATGTCAAATTCAAGCAGTGAATCTAAAACGTTGAGATTTATGCAAGATGTATACCTTCAAATCTGCCTATGACAGACTCTCAGTATCTGGAAGACTTTTTGCTAAGACTGGTGATGATAATAACGAAAGTGTTCTGGATGTTGTAAAAAAAATCTGAACTGGTAATTTCAAAGCTCACTGATGTATATTATGAATCATGTACCCATAAAAGAATTGCTCACTGTGAAAGACACACCAATAAGTGTTATTTTGTAGCAGTTTCAGAGACACAATGTAAAATTCCATTATACCTAACTTAAGAAACTAATCTTTGCAGTGTGTGATGTAAAGTAAAAGATTATCCATATGATCTGTATTTTAAAAACACATTTATATCAAAATATATACAATTATGTGATTGGTTATTCTTCTTATTGTTTCTTCCAAAGGAACTGCCGATGAATCAAGAAAAGGTGAATTTAATTGTGTTCTATTCAGTCAAATGAGGACTTGTACATCAGTGTAAATAGAGATACATTTTTCAACCAATGTAGAAAGGGAACAGAAATGTAAGAGTTATAAAAGATAGTCATTTTTGTTATGTGTGTTAACAATGTGGTTTTTAATGGGAGTGATCTTGTCCAACAGTAGACATTGTTTGTTATCACAAGATGAGGGAGAAAGCGACTGGCATCTACTAGGCAGAGGACAGCAGTCCTGTAATACATCCTACACTGAGTAGGACAGCCCCCACAACAAACAGTACCTGGCTTAAAATGTCAGTAGATCCACGATCAAGAAATGCTGTTAACACCTCCCACCTGCACACACACAGGCACACACAAACACATATGCATTTAACTCTGTTTTAATTTCTAAACAGAACACATCAATATAATCTATGGAAGCAAATATCCTTTGTGATCTTTAAGAGAATATTTTTCAACAGACCTAATTACAATAACAAGAAACCTGAAATGACTTGCTTCCATCTATTACTAAAAGCACAGCACAACCTCTGATGTTTGCAGCCAGGGCCTGATAATATATAGGTATTCTGTAAATTAAGTTGAAGTATAAGGCAAGTTTTTAAGAGCTCACCTGTATTTTATGTGGTAATATACTGCCAACGTCATACTGTGGGAAGGAAAAAAAATATATGTTATAACCAAGATTATTGGTGAAATTGAAGACATGTTTTCAAGGAGAAACTTCCCATAGACTTGTCTTGCAGTTTCAGAGCAGTATCATATGGGCACTTGCCCCTGTTTCATTTAACTTGCTTATAGTAGACAGATGCCAAATGTTATGCAATGTGACATCAGGACATCTTCTTTTAACTATACATTATTACGTTTTTCTCTGTCATTTGTGTTTCTACCCGTATAACCTCTTTCCCTGGACAAATTCTATAAATGTTCCCAAATACTTAAAACTAAACCACATAATATTTGTTTAAAAAACTTTGAAGCCCGTGCATTTATTTCAGTTGACTTATTCATTATTCACCTGCCCATAATTTTCATTATTTCTCTGAAAGTTAATTAAAAAAATGCTGTAGAACAAAATGAAAATCATTCCTCCAGTACAAGAAAAAGTTTTGTAGTAAATACAAGTGGCCTCCAAACTGATAATAGTTCTTTTATGCTGAAAAGTCAGTGATAGTAATGCAGCCTACATCTGTACAGTACAATATTCATGGGAAATATTTCCAAATTAGTTTAAATAAAGAATAAATAGGCAGACACAACCCTTCAGATCATACATTTCTGTATCTCTAAATTATACATAGGTGCTGTTTATTAGGGTACAAAGGGATTCCCTTGAGTGAGTTATATGCTTTGATTTGCTCTCATTGTTTAAAAGGAAGCTTAACATCATCAAGGGAAGACAAAGCTGAATTTTAAAAGAAGTCCAGAATGTGTTTAAAATTTAAAGTCTGACATCATATGCATCAGGGATGCACATTTTTATAGTATTTCAAACAGTTTATCTCCAAATTGCGTTTAATCATAGACTGACCATCATACATTGAAAAGGTTCACCAAAACTTATTAGAAATTTCATCTAACAACCAACTGTTACAGATAAGGGAACCAAAGCTTGCCCAAAATCCCACCAAATAGTCAGAAGCAATTCTTTTCCTATATAGTATTCTCTGGATCAGTAGTTCCCAAACTTTCCTGCACACTGGAATCACCCAAGGAGCTTTACAGTGATCCTTAATTCCAACTTGGGACATTATGATTAAGTGGCACAGGGAACAATTCGGTACAAGGAGTGTTTGAGAAGTTCCCCCAGGTGATTCCACTATGCAACAATGTTTGTGAATGACTTAAAAGTTAAATGTCACAATCGTTGGGCATGCATTATGTACACTACTACATGTAAACTTCATCCTTCACCCCATAGATATGGGAAAGGGTACTGTAGGCAGGGAAAGAATAAAATAGGAAACTCCTTAGGTTTTATGGCTAATCCTAAATAGAAGGAGTTAAAACTCTCCTGGAAAAATTTCCCTTGGCAATAATGTGAAGGAAAAGGTAGTGAAAAACAAAAGAAAACAACAAAACAAAAAGGCAGCAAATGGCTTAGGGGCTTGCACCCAAAACCAGAGAAAGAGCTGACAAGCAGAGTACAAAGAAAGTCTTGTGCACAAAACCGAGGTAGCCTTCCTTTTGTACTTCCTATAGAATTCAGGGAAGCAGACTGGAAAGGAGGAGTGACTAACTCTCGGGGAAAACTTGTGTGTGTTCACACCTATGCACTAGCACACACACATACACATATGTGTTCACTCTAGGGTTAGCATATTATCCACTCTAGGAGCACTGTATCACTACAATACACACACACACATCTCGTTACTAACTCAAATGTAATGATGAATAAGGCACCTCTTAGTCAACCAGCTGTCCACCTTGGAGAAAAGGCCCTCTCAAGGACAAATAGAAGTTACACAAAGCCCTCAAAAGCAGTGACATAGGCTAGTGGACCTGGTCCAATACAAATAAATCCCTGGGAACCAAGAGGGCTATGGTAAGGTCTAGGCAGGGCAAGGTGTCCTTGGTACACAATAAAGGTATCCAGGAACAAAGGCCTATGGATCTTCCATGTTTCTCTTGTCAGGGTGGCTATTTTCTCCCTTTCTATTGAAACATGCTTTCAAAACTTTGTATCTTTAATTTGTTATTGTATTAGAGTTTATAATCCAGGTGAGCCACTCACCCCAGTGCAGTGGTGCTCACACAGCACATGAGGTGACACTGCATATGTATTATGGCAAACATTCAAATGCTGGTAACTGGGGTGTCAACAGAGGAAACAGCGATTCTTTTTTCCAAGAGTCATTTCTAAATTGTTAAACTGTAACTCATAGAGAACTATCTTTTCTAGAAATATCGAAATATAAAGCACCTGTTCTTTTTACATTTAACAGTGTCTTGCATCATACATGTTTAGTATAAAGAGGCACACTTTTCATGGGATTCTTTAGTTGCTAAAGAATCCCTTCTACCATGAGTGGATTAAAATAAAAATGGGAAAATCACAGTTAGGCCTTTACAATCAATATAGATGTTTTGCTCCAATATTTGAAAGTGGGAAAGGAAGAGAATAATCATATGGCTGAATTTACCCAACATGGCTGGAATGTTTTAGCAGTAGGGGACCTGTCACTCAGGCCTCTGCAGCATCCCTGTACTCACCATTGTACTATGTTTCTATGATTAGGCTTGCTGAGTGTGCTGTCATCCATCCATATTGAGGAGCAGGAGCTGTAGTTCCTCGTCAGCTGACAGTAGAAGAAAATGTCACAGTAAGTTAGACTCACAAATGTTGGGGCTGTTTCCTTGGTTAAAATGTCAAGTGACAAACCATGAAGGTATTTCTTACAGTGCATGAAAGGTCTGAGGGCAGTGTCATGCATATGGGTCTGCAAAATGTTACTGGGGGAGGCTGTTTCTTTTCAGGGGTGTTGGAGGAGTAGGTTGTAAAATATAGCCCTTATTATGCTACCTATTTTCAAATCTGACAAGCATTTAGTATACATCATTTTATAAATAGTATAAAAAGTTTAAAATAAGATTTTCGACTTTTAGCAAGAAAAACAGCTAAGATTTTCTATTTCTACTGTTAGTAACTAGAATAAAATGTAATGCCTTGCATAATATTGGCACAGTATTAACAGTATAGTACAACAAACAAAAGCTTAACACTTAATTCATTAACTAACACTAAGTGTGTTAATGTGATGAGACAAATATTTCACAGTCAAAGGACTGTGCCAGGGATGCTCAGTCACTAACAAGCCAGGGCGATAGGTCACCTGGACCTGTACCCTTACCAAGAATACACAAGTACTATTTGAAGATTCCCTCACATCTAAAATAGAGGACAAGAACAACTTTGAGAGCTGAACATTCAATTATTTTCTGGGAGGATTTCCATTACATAACTTTGTGGAAAGCCTCAGACACTCAAGATTACATTTAATTCTCTAAAGCTATCTGACACTTATGAGGACATATTTCTGCCTCATTCATGCTATTCGCTGCCTGAGAAGCTTTTTTCGGTGTTTATGTCCTACAGATTTGATCCCACCTACATTCTGGAATACATCTGCCAACAGCTGCATCATAAAACATTTCTCTGAAAGTGTTCCAGTGACAGTGTAAGAGATTGAGCATATTTAATATTTTCCTCAGCATGGGAAAGACCTTAAAGGCATGACCCATTTTGTATAAGTATATGAACATTCTGAGATGGTTAGACAATCTGTCTGGTGATATCAACAACACACAGCACATCTGGGTGAGTACAATTGGTCCACAGGTGAATTCAGATCAAGAATTTAAGAATGAAACTGTCCACGCCCCATTTTCCCATTTTTAAAGATAACTAGAATAGCAAAAAAATTCATAAACATTTCTAAGTGATGCTTAATCATAAAATTTAAAAGAAAAAAATTGTAAAACACTAAATGTCTATCATTCTGGCTTATGTATACCCCCTAGTACACACAATATATACTATCACAGACATTGTTTTTGACATACACTTATCTAATATGCAGTAATGTCAATCACTTAACCTTGAAAACAACTTCACTTATGAAATGGAAAACAATTATTCTTTGCTGTAAGTGAGTAGGAGTAGTCCATTACCATAACGATTCAAACAGATTCATGCATTCACACTTAACAACAAAGTTAGGAAAACAAAAATAATTACACTACCAAATCTGATCTTTTTGGCAATTACACAGCCTGCTGAACATCTGTGATAGAGGACCAAAGTGATACCTCTTTTGTCAAAAAATAAAAATGCAGAAGTCTGGAAACAATGAGGTATTCTCATTTAAGAACTGCAATAATAAAAATAAATTGCATTTTAAAAATTAATGTGACATTTACAAAGTCTATTCAAGCATCGTTTTTCTTCTTCTTTAGTTCACTTTGTCCAGCTCAGATTGTCCCAATTTTCTTCCTGTGCTGCCACACTAAAATATATTAATATGTTGAATTATTTAGGTTTCCCTTGACAAATCTCAAGCATTAGAGCTACCTGGAGATGCTCCTCCAACCTTCCTCGTAAGTATTTCAAGAACTTTCATCTATTTTTAGTTTTAAAAAGCCTATCCAGATGAGATGTCATGGCACATGTTTGTGTCTGTGTGTATTTTGTGTGCAAAAGTCAGCCAGAACCACGTAACAGTGTGCAACCAGAGAGACAGAAGACATGCAAACAAACTTACACAGTGGTCCAAGTAACCCTAAAAGTCTTAGATATCCAGACACTGAATTATCCTCTCAAAATAGTCTCTTTCTGGACAAACTCAAAACATTTTAAATATTCTTTTGGGCCATTTGCTCTCAACATAGATCTGGATGAAAGCCATCAACAGTAACCATGCCAGTACCTTAACATTGAACTGCCTTGAAATTTCTTCAACCAGATTAATTTAATTTCAGCCTTTGACAAAGCCTTTGGATATGAGCAAAATGCAAACTTATTTTCTGCAAATGTAACACACACACACACACACACACACACACACACACACACACTTTACATTTCCTATTACTCTCCCACTAGCCAGTTTAAAACTGTTTTTTCTTTTCACTTTTTTCAGTTGTAATAAAAAATACACAGCTGGTATCTCTAGACCTTTCCAAATGATCTTACATGCCACTTATAAAGGCTTCTGAACCATATGGTCAGGTAGCAGCAGCACAGCAATAACCCCACCACCAGCACCAAACTCTGTGTTAGCTACTTTCTCTTCACTGGAAGAAATCATCTGACATCTACAAGTTAAAGGAATCCTTAATATATTGGAGATACATACTTTTAAGGGTCCAAGTTAGTACCTTTATATGTATTTAATTTAAGGGTCCAAGTTAATACCATTATATGTATTTAATTTAAATACATTTGGTTATTGCTTATACTAGACGTTTCTTTAAACCCTCTAGTGCTTACAGTCTAGAGACTTCTGAGGAGGTCAGTGAATCATGGGTGTGTGATACTGAATTAGTTCACTGAATGGTTTAGCATAGTTCTGTGTGGATAATTAGCATAGTTCTGGGTGTGAATGATGGGCTTAATGGAGAGAGAAGATGCACCTGGGTTTGGGTGGCACCAACCAAGAGGCTTATAGCCTGAATTAAATAAAAACTGAAAGGAGGAAGAAGTCTTGCTGCTTCTTACCTGCCATTCCATGCAGTGTATATCCACTCTCAGGTTCCTCTGCCATGACTTCTTGCTTTGGAGCCAGATGACTGTGGACTAAAACTTCTACAAAATGTGAGCTAAAAGACACCTTACCTCCTTTAACTTGTGGGTGTTGAGTATTTTGTCCCAGCAATAAATAGGTAACTAAGACATACTTACACTTGAACTGCAAGTTTTAATTAAGTTAAAAATGGTGGATTGATTGAACATGCAGCTAGTTCAACTTGCTCCTGATATATTATTTGAACTAAAGGATAAAATAAATGTTACACATGAGACCTGGATCCAGAATGGACATCATTTTTGATGTGTGAAAACTGTAAGTTAAATACTGTTAACTCACATGGGAAAATATTAGGACACTCCGAGGCACAGAGCACCTTGGCATAAAATGTGAAGCAGAGGCCATGAAAAACCATAGGAAATGAATGTAGAGCCATTGTACACCTGTCCTCCATCTCTGCAGGTGCTATGCAGATATTATATTCTATAGACATTAAAACTTAGAGATATCAAGTACATCATGGCTGAGACCTAGACATTAGTGGACGAAACACTGTATGATGAACAGTTTCTGGAAAGCAGGCAGCTTTGATTGTATTCCTCAGGCAGAGGTTGAGGAGCTTTTTCTCTGATATCAGGCTGTCCAAGAGATTTGGCCCCCAGGTGTTGCCCAAAGCCCTGCAAAGGAAAACCTGATTTCACTGCCAAATTCTCACAGTGGAGCCCACTAGTTAAATGAAAGTTTTGCTCACATACAGTATTTCAGTCCAGGGAATGCCAGGGTCACCCATGTATTTCAGGGAATCCTCTGACAAGAGAGATCATTGTAACAGGAACAAAGGAATTTGTGGGAGTGCTAGAAATTCAGGAGCAAATTAGAAGTTTAAAAGTATTTAAATACCAGATTGAAAAAGTTCAATTCAAGGAATAACTAATATTTAATCAGAGCCAAAGGAAAAAGTAGAAAATGGAAAGAGGACGGACATTTGACATGAGTGAAGAAGTACGAGTATGAAAAACACAATATTTAAATAAACAAAGTATAAGAAAATCTAGAGAAAATATCAAGGACTTTTAAAGAAGAGGGAGTTTTCAGACTTTAAAGACCACCCCAAGGAGATGAAAAAGTCAATAACAAACCCTTGTGTTCTTTCAGCATCCCTAAGATAGAGAAGTCTTTAAAAGCTTCCAGAGGAGGGGAGTGGCTATAGCTGGTTATTTTTGAGGTATATAATATGGGGACAACAGAGTTAAGAGCAACACTAGAAATGAGAAGAGCTTTGTGAAAACTGGCATCAACCTGCAAATCTATGTTTTATTAAAAACTATATTTTCCTTTACAGGCTGGCTTCTTAAAATTATCCATTTGCCCTTTCATAGGAGAAAGTTTTCCAGTAGAACAGGGGAGCACAAGACAGAGGAAACAAAAGAATCTAGGACAGTGAGGATACTCGCAACAGAGCCCTATGGAAGACAGACTTCAAGGAGATATTCCAGGGAAAGTGAAGCAGCAGGCCTAAGGACAAGCCAGTCCCTCTAAGGTAGGAAAGCCTGTGAGGGCAGTCTCTGGGAGAAAACTGAAGCAAGGGTGTTTTAGAATGTGAACAATGTCCTGGCAGGCATGTGACTAATGTTACAGCATTGCGGGGATTGTTGTTAAGAAAACTGTCCCAGTAAGAATACAAGATTGACCTCCCTCAAAGATGAAGAACGTGAAAACAGAAAGAGCTCTGGGGTTCCTTATCCTACTTGGTTTTGTGAACTAATGCTCCTTAGGGATCATCCAGCAACAGTGCAGAGCTGTGTACATTTCAGAAATACTTTAGAGAAAGAATTAAATTATACAAAGGCAGAACAGTGTAACTGTTATTACATAACCTCGCAGTAAACAATAGTAATAAATGATAATTAGTTAGTTTAAAATATATGATCTAAATAAATATCAAAAACAAAAATAAAACTGTATTATGCATCTGAAGGAAATTGGGGAGAATAAAGTCATTGCGGAAAGAGGAAGCTAAACATTCACCTGTTATGATGGAAAAACAACGGACAATGCTAAAGACTGATGTGTTAAATAGTTTATTTTGATTTTTAAAAAGATTAAAAATTAAAGCCAAATATTTCATACAAACCTTTAACACTGTGCCCATATTACCACAATGGAACTTAAATATCAGAAACCCTTAAAAATGGAACTTACTAACTCAAAGACTTTGTGAAGTAAATTTAAAACATCTCAGGAAAATACAAAATACATTAAAAATGCAGAAAAGGAAGTCTATGGTCACAGACTGGCTCCTCATTGTATTTGTTTAGAAATCATGGCAGAAACAATCAGATTTACTCAATTTCTTATTATCTATTTACTTACATGCTTGAGATGGGTGTTGTTCCTCTGGTCATGCACTAAGAATAAGAAAAACAAATAAACCTACTTAAGCTATCACAATACAGAATGCCTTAGAAATGTACATTGAACTGGCTACAAAATATCTGATGGATTATAAATATACAGAATATACAAAATGAGTATTTTACTTTTAAAAGTAAATAATCTAGTGCTGGGGATATAGCTCAGTGGCACAGTGCCTGCCTGGGAAGCACAAGGTAGTGAGTTAGAACTGGGTTCCAAAATCAGCCAATTACCTGCCAAGACAAGTTTGATAGAGTGAAAACCAAATATTTATTTATACCTTCTGTTTACCCTAAAAAATGACAGACTATCCTTACATGAAAGAAAATTGTAAAACTGGATCCTAGATGAACATTAGCTAATAGAAAAAAGTTAACTTATTACATGTCTCTCATTTTACCAGACTTTCCTGAGTAAATACACAGTACTTTGTAATTATATATTGCTTAACAGCTTAATTACAAATATCTGATAGTAGACGGCTCTATGAACAAGTTTCTGGTTAGGCACTCACTATTCTCTTTCTGCTCTAGAATTCATAATCTACTAAGTTAATGCAAATGTTACTAAAAATATTAGTGATTCTTTAGACAACTGTAAATTAATCCACCTGAAATATCGAGCTTGAAATGAATGTGCTAATCTAAGTGAACACCCTCTCAATAGCATACAAATTCATTTTGGCCTAATGAAGTACATAAAGCAAACACTCCCGAGTTACATGGGCCACTGCAGCATTTCCCATACTGTTTCCTCTCAAGCTAGACACCTGCATATTCCTTTCCCCTGAAGAGAGGAGTGCGGATCTGTTTGTTTTTTATCCCACACTCTACATGTGAGAGGCACATATATCTCCTGAAGAAATGGAAAAACACAGCAATGCTAACCAGAAATGACCAGCTCAAAAAGAAAATTGTACAGAAGTGGAAATATAGATAAGAATTCCCGTTTTTCGTTGTGCTGCGTTTTTCCAAGTTTTACAGGGGCTTCATGCCTTAAATTCTTACCCTTGTAATCAACTGGAAAATTTTGTCATATATCAGACTTTTAACAACACAATAAAATGACAGCAACAACAACAACAAAGGCAATTTATCCAAACATGAAGAAGAGAAGTTAGGTTGCACAAAGTCCCGCAAATCTGATTCTCACTCTGGAGTAAGCAGGACACAATGATTTACAGTAGTTGCACACATTGCCTTACCCTTAACGTCAGAGTATGTTTACACAGATTTTCTTCATAGGATCAAAACATTTTTGCTAACTCAAAATTTCTGAGAATGCCATAAATCCTAAATCTGGTGTGGGGTAGGCTCACTGGATTATAGCACTGTAACAGTGAGATCGAAGGGATGACTCAGTAGGACTCTCGTTGGCTATATCCATATATATACCTATCTGCATATCTGTATCTATGATTTTCAAAATATGATGTCAAGATTCTCTAAGTGTAAACTAAGTTTTATTATTTCTCCTTAAAACATTTCCTGTGGAAGAAGGGTAAAGGAACAAAATAATAGAGAAAAATAAGTTTAAATCCATGACCCCTTCCTTAATCATGTGGCCTGCTGTAGTGATAAAGAGGCAGCCAAATGTGTTAACAGAGAGTAGACAAGCTCTCAGTTTTAGAGTGACATTAAAAGAAAGTATATAATCAGATGTTAAATGTAAAATGCACATTTAAAAAATTGAAAAACTGAATCCAATATGTAAGTTCTTGTAAATATTTGTATAATGTATCAACCATGTAAAATGACAAGAGTTTTCAGCCTGATCATTGACGGGGAAGCGTAGTCTTACCGTATGTTTGAGATTTGCTCAGGAAAATTGTGCCTATCTTTGGATCATCAGAAGGGTTTGATTTCGAAGCTTCTTCTACAGAGAAAAAGAAAAAAATATCATGACTTCGTTCAGTAGAAATGTAGATAGTTTTCAAAACAGCTTCCCAATACCTTTAAGTCATGTTAACAGCATTGTAAAATGATTTAGTTATGAATGTGAATGAAATAAAACGAAGGCAACAATATAAGGATTCTCCCAGAGAACTGTAAAGTTGTAGAGTCCCTTTTCACATACAGAATAAAACAGGCTGTATCTTAGACTTATTATTCTAAAATTTTGTCTAGATATTCTAATATAGCTTTTCCATGAACCAAGTGCACTTAAAGATGAATATATGGCCTAGGATGGCCTTCTCTGCTGGGATTACTGGCACATTTCAGGAACAGTTTTGAGTAACAAACACTTGCTCTTGCATCGTGGATGCACTGTTAGATACCAGTTCAATGTGACAAATATTTAAAAACATCAAACGTTCTTTAGACCATGAATGACATGGCTAATTCTAGCTGCATTCAACAAGACAACTCATTGTGATAGCTGTGCTGTTTGGAGACTATAAATGATGGAAGATCTAGGATTAAAATCCAAAGTGCTAATCTGTAATCACCTTCCTGAGAAAAACTGTTTTTTTAGAAACTTGTCTATGTACATAGATTTTTGATTCTTCTTTCTGCCCAGAAGTCCACCTTGGAACTAGATTGGGAAAGTTTTCTCTTTAGTAGATACTATAAAACAGAGTCTTAAACTTCAATAATACATAATTTGCTATTATAAGGGATAATAAAAGTCATTATGGCTTGTGCTGTGACTGTCCTCAAAAATCTCGGGCTACTTAACCAGTGTTGTAATAAACTGTACCAATATTCAAAAAAACTAGTGGTTAAGCAATATTTCCTTAAGCACATATTATTAATTATTCTACTTTAGAGTGTTTAGTGGTCCAGTCACACTCTTGTGTATATCCTTGGCCTTGCAAAATTCAAAATGGGCACTGATATATTAAAAAAAATAATTAGTTTATTAGTGACTACTGTCTAACTCAGCACTTCACAAATTTACCTTCTTTTGAATACTACTTTTGCCCTTCTGAGTACTATGGTTAGAATTTTGGATATATATAATATTGATCTTTCAGATTTAACAAGAATTTGAATAATTGATTTTAAAGGTACAATGACATCACTAGCAACTTACTAAAACCTTTCTTTATTCTTCATGGTAATTCCTCAATCAAGTTTAGTATAATAACTCTTATATAAGAACTCCTGAAGAATACATGAATTTTTGCATATCATTTAGAAGATGAGACAATCTTGGTTATGTGGAAAAATAAAATCACTTTATGCACAAGGTGACAGGTACAGACTTACATGGCCATCTGTATTCTAAAGCTTCTGACAACTTTCGGACCACGTCCTACTAAAACACCAATATGTGCACATTTGAATTTCTCAATATAATTTGTAGAATTATTTTACTATCAAAAATAAATTATAGAAAGAGCTATATTAGGTATTGGCACATTTGTAATTACAGATTTTGAATGTAGTCCAGAAAAACTAAGTATCAAAATCAGATGAATCAGTTTAAACCCCCCCACACGCTCTGTCCCTCTCTCTCTGTATTTCTCTCTGTCTTTCTCTATTTCTCTGTCTCTGTCTCTGTCTCCAAGACTATGTATCTGAAGACAAAATTCAAGAAGTTTGGTATTTAAAATAAAGAGAATGTGCAAAAATAAAAGAAACGAGCCCAAGGGAAAGGCTTGTACCCTCTCTAGAGCAATAGAATAGGCATATGACCCAGGGTTGGTCACTGCATCACAACTCTCTTGAGTCCTCCAACAACCAGACGAGAAAGTCACTAGGACTGTTATCTAGCTAACTGGCAGCTGCTGGTTGTGACCTCTGCCATCAGGAATAGTAAATGTTTGGCAGAAGAGATGGACAGAGGGGAGGAGAACCGACATAGGCTTTTGAGAAAGGTTACTTCCTGGGCCTAGTTGTACATTATCAACCTGTATGAACTACCTGGTTATGCAAGTCTATTTTGGAATAAATTTTCTTTAATTTGTAATTGTTAAGGGTGCTGGTTAATCAGCGGTACTGATGATCACACTCAAGGTGGGCACCTACAAGAGTTATTGACTCATTTAACAGATATTATGAATAGCAGTTTGTAAATGCCAAACTACTGTGTTTACAAATTATCAACATACCCACCACCATTTGTTTTAGTTGCTTTGATTATGCATGTTTCAAGTAGCTCTTGGGCTCAGAAACATAACTCAGTTGTGAAAAACATACCTTGCAAGCACAGAGGTCTGGATTTGATCTCCAGAACAATTAAAAAAGAAAAAATAGTATCAATGTACAATTCATTGCATATTTTATTACCACAAAATGATCAGCCCTTTGAGCATATTTGCTCTTTTGATACCATAACAGTGCAGTAAGGTATTGTGTACTTTATGTAGCCAATCTCCTATTGGTTGAAGATTTAGTAACTCATAAAATATTCATGTACATAGTATTTTCTTTTTGTATAAATAGTATTTTAAAAGAAATCATGTTTTTCTGATTAGGAAAGATTTTAAAAGATGCAGGGATTAGACAAAAATAGTGGATTTCTTAGTTGAATGTACAGGGTTAATTGCTTTTGAAAAGGCATAAGGGCACTTTAGGGTCCGGTGGTACCCATGGTACCAGTGGTTTGAACCCCAAGCCCAGATTTGTTTTGTTAAAATCCTGTGAATGTGCATGAGAAACATTACTGTTCCCTTAATTTACAAATATCTGATGAGAGTTTGACTACTGTCCCATACTTAGTAGTGGAATTTTCACACTGGTTATTTTCACATCAGTTTTATGTATGTTAGGCACTGTATCCATTACTTTGAACATTGTCATTGCACAGTTTTCAGGAAGTACTAGTTTATCATGTGCCCACCACAGTTTTCTATAGTGTACTGTTTGCTCTTTCTGCTAATAGTAAACATCATGTGTTGTCATTTCATCCAATAGACATTTAGGTTACTAGAGAATAAACTGATAAGAACTGTATTAATACTCTACAGTCTATTAAGTATTTCCAAGTGCCAAAAGGGACACTATTTATATCACATTGCTCTTCTTTCATTATCATGATTGTGTAACTACCAGAGATAAAGCAAATCATTAGGGACCGTAAACACACACACACAGACACACACCTGCGTACATACAACTTAAAACAGATGTCAAGAAAATTCAAACTTTGAGTACCATGAAACTTATACAAATGCCTTAAAGATTTTTAGAAATATATACAAATATTTCAAACTATAACTAGAGATTGATTAAAACTCTTTTGGAATATCCACCAATTTTATATTACGAGTTTAAAATTTAAACTTCACAGCACAGTGGTTTGTTATAGGTGAAATACAGCCTTAAAAATTTAACTCAAGTCTACATGTGAACATCTGTGAGAGAAATAAATATGTAAAACATTACTGATATGTAATATTGCTTTTGTTAATGTCTAAGATACTATGAATGGAGACATCCATCTCAATTGAAGAACTATTAAAAACAGAAAGTCACACACGTGACTTGGAATATATGAAATGCACTACTAAAATATTAAAATTATGCAGCTGGAAACTGTCAAGAATTAATGTTTCTCATCAAAAATAAAGAGAAAAAGCAATGATCAACAGTGCAGGAAAAAAGCAGAATTAGAAAAAGACACTGATTTCAATAAATACCATTTAAATAGAAGATATTCACAGTTTCTGTGCCAACTGCTGTGCACTTGCTGATTTGAAGGTTACAGCATTTACCTAGTTGGTCTATTATTCTTTTTTTTTTCTTTTGGTACCCGGGTTTGAACTCATGACTGTGTGCTTGCAAGGCACATGCTTATACCACTGAGCTAAATCACTGGCCAGTCTAATATTCTTTTGTTGTGAAATTATATTAGTTTTAAGATCCAAAACACAACCATTGTAGATTCATAATTTCTATGCAGAATGTTGGTTTTGTTGGCATCCACATTCCACTGCCTGGAGCTGGTGTGCTGATCAGAGGGTACATCACAGGAAGCAGAGCTCCTGCATACTGTTGCTCAGTGCTCACTCCCACCTGACTCCTCTATTGTAGTCTCTGCTGATCTGCACTCTGAATCAGCTTCTCCATCCATTTTCAGTCCTTCCCTATCTGTTTAATCCTCAGTCTGTGTTTTACTGATTGGGACTGAGATGTGATATTCGTATATTGTATTAATCCTCATTTTACTTATGTATTACTTAGGAATGCTTTGCTCAATTTCTTTGAATTGTTGTAAATTAACACTTCTTTATTATTACATGACTAGCTTAAATATTTTAATACTCTGGGAGTTGGATGAGAAAACAAGGTAGCTTTTAAGGCAACACGTATTTCGTATTTTAAAGTCCATTTCTACACATCTTATATCTGAAATTTACAGTTGGTTTGCTATTTTTCTTTAAGAGAGAGCTTCCTCTATAGTATATGAAGTTATATTCATATATTTCAAGGAAAAAGACACACTATGGTAACTACTATTACGTTGGGTTATTTGGTGGTGAAGCACTAGGTTGCTGAAACAGTCATGCTTTGACCTGTATTGTTATGTTGTTATATCCTCTTTTATCTCAATCTCTCCCTTATTCATTGAAAAATTATTTAGTTATTTTTTGTTTTTTTTAACTACAAGGAAAAGTTTAAATTAGCAGGATATATTATAGTAACTTTTTTTGATTTTCTATTAACTGGATTTGAAGTCCTGTAATACTGCTACTATCTTGTTTTGACTGATTAGATTCTGCTCCGTTCTGTATGATAGTATCGTTTGAGGGTGTAAGCAACTACTTTGAAAGGCAATAAGATTCACTAAGATGCCGATTCTGTTTTGACTATTATCTTCTTTGGAAGTCCTGTAATGTTTACAATGTTTAAGTTTTATTGTTCTTGTTCTCTACTGCTTTGTTCAACTTTATAATACCTAGTGAGATAGACAATTCTTTTTAAGGA